GAGCCACTTTGGCTAAATTACAAGGCATGCATTCTCGACATAGTTGATTTTCCTGGAGACGACATCATGCAATCAAGCGTGCGGTATTTGTAACGATTTTACAGTAAAACTCAATTCTGCAGTACATTCAATGAACAGTGAACTGTTTGATAGTGAGCTTGTCAAATGTCAGTCACTGAGATATCACCGTTTAGAGCAATGGGGTGATCTATTTTTGGCCAATGAGCGAACAGGGTTTTGTCAGGTGATCACGTGATGTCATCAGTGAAAACAAGGTTATCAAGGTTCTAATTTTACAGATAGTGGTAATAGCTAATTTTAGTCTACCATTCTGGCCAAGAATGCCTAAGATTGTCAACTGTTTGATAGTGAGCTTGTCAAATGTCAGTCACTGAGATATAACCGTTTAGAGCAATGGGGTGATCTATTTTTGGCCAATGAGGAAACAGGGTTTTGTCAGATGATCACGTGATGTCATCAGTGAAAACAAGGTTATCAAGGTTCTAATTTTACACATAGTGGTAATAGCTAATTTTACCAAGATTCTCAACTGTTTGATAGTGAGATTGTCAATTTCATATACTATTATGGCAAAAATATAGAAATGAAATTTGACTACTGAGCGAAGTACAAATAGATATTTGCTATATAAAACTTTCAAGAAAATCGTTTTAAGCAGTTTTCAGGACTTATACGACAAAAATGTATCACAGAAGTATAAAATAATACATTTACATTATCACAATTCACAAATGCCATTATAGGTAGCCTAACAATCCGCATGGCGTGACATATTACTGTGTCAACTGTCAATGCTTCTATATTGACTGCAGACTGCAGCCGACGAAAGCTTTCAAAAAACTAGTTGTAATAGTATTAATTCGTATTGTTCATAATGTCAGTCGACGGTTCAAACATTTAGGTATTCATAAGTATAATTTATAAGCATTTGTACGTCTAAAACTGCGAGAACATCGCACCAAGCAATATGCATGTAAACGTGAACCGTAGTAATGTCTTCTGTGCATATATACTCTGCATCCTTCGTATTGTTTGTAAAATGTGGCTTCTATTGTCGGATAATTACATTTCGTAATACATTCTGGGTCAAGTGCGCAATGCATTCTGGGTCATCGAAGTCCAATACGCGACCGACACACGACGAAACCTAGACTCGTGCCCTCCTAGAGCACGAGTAATTAATTCCATACGTGATATTTATCGGTTATAATTTGTAACATGAAGTGTTCAATATTAATTAACCTATAAAATTTTTAAAAACCGGCGCATTTGCAATTTAGAGGTTTCTGTTCATGATATAAAAGATAAACTCATATTCCTTTGTTTACAGGTTTAATAATCCGATTATGAATTAGACGCAATTTGGCAACAACTTGAGTTTAAAAGTAAATTGATTCCATACGTGATACTTATCGGATATAATTTGTAACATGAAATATTCAATGTCAAATAACCTATAAAATTTTTAAAAACTGGTGTATCTGTAAAAACCCGGATCTGATTCAAGTAATTATAGTATAAAATTATATAGTATTGTATTATATTGTGTATTTAATTTGATCGTTTACATGTTGAAATCATTTTCTGCCAGGCGCTTCCTTTGGCAAAACCACCCAAAGCACCCACGCGCGCTCGCTTATTTTTCAGCTGACCTCTATGCAATAACTGCATGCAACATTTTTTTACTAATAAAGCGCCTGGGTACGACGCTACCAGATGTTTGACACCTGACATCTTAACAATTTCTGGTTTTTTAGTAAAGGCAAGGTCAATCAACGTGCTCAATGATTCAGTTACTAGAGTGGGTTCTCGAATCAGTTGTTCAAATTGAGAAGTATCAGCAATTCTTTCAGCTTTATCGTCTGAGAGGTTGCATTATTAGGCAATAACTTGGTCCAATCACAATTATAATCTCCCACAAGAATATAATATATCTTTACTATTTATCTCTCTGTCTGTCGAAGTTTAGCTGAACATGGCTAGACCAGTCTCTATAGAATAGCTACTTATTGCCGCATGGTTATTCTCAGCAAGCTTTCGATAAAGTTATATAGATAAGTTCCATGTAATATAACCAAGGAGCAGCGTGGCAGCGTCTTCAAACAACTTAGCATCAAATGTGGTATAACAACTGCCAAAATAGACAAAGCACTTCTCCACGCAAAAACGCGAAATCTAGGCCATCAGGTTCTTTCAAGAGCCGGAAATTCTCAATCGAACATGAATAAATATTTAATTAGATATTTAAAACTCCTGTTAAAACATTAAGTTTAAACATGACATATTTTGATCAATAGTTCAACCCTTGAACAAAAAAGACAAACATGTCGACCATAATTAACAATAGACAAGAAGTATATGCATCCTTAAACGATACAATTTTCACCTGAAACGCAACAATTTACACTTAAAACGAAATGTTTCATGGTTGCTCTCCGCTTTCCGTGCGACATCCCAATTCATATGCAATTAGAGGAAAGAGTCCCCGAAAGACGTAAAATCCAGTGGTAAATAGGCTAAAATAGCCCGATTTATACTAGATATACTGATCATCCGTTTAGATGAACTTAGGATAGTTCGTCTAAAGGTAGATAATTGTGTTCAAACACTTGCAAACAGCGGATCATTCGTCACACGCCGGAGTTATATCCGCATAATTCTTATAGTTATTTTGACGAATTTGAATCGGTAGTTCACTACGCTGAAATCGTACTTCTTTCAGCACTCCTAACCTGGGAAATTTCTGTTAAAGTAATTCAGATAATTTTCACTGTGACATTCGCAACTGGATAGAAAAATAACGACACAAATGAGAGAAGTTGCGAGGATAATTGCGGATGTTGAAGAGGAAGAAGATTGAATAACTAATAATTATACGTACCAAAACACGTCGTTCTATTGAAAAAGAAACCTTTCTTACATACACACTTGTAAGAACCTAGGGTGTTGTTGCACGAGATTGAAAGGTCTGGATTACACGGGGATGACAAGCATTCATCATTATCTAAATGAAATGGTTAAAAGAAAATATATTAATAAACGCTAAACTGGATTGAAGGAATGATAAATACTGTCTGCCCATATACTACAATATCGGACGAGATCTTTTACAATATTGGACTAATGTTCTTATTTAATGTTTGCTTCTGTATTGGCTCTCTCTCTCTCTCTTCGAGTCTTCGTCGTTTTTTGTTCTGTCTTCTTCGTCTGTTCTGTATTTTTGAGCTTCTTCACGTTTCATATGACTTTTACTCTGTTGGTCCACTGAAATTTCTGGTGCTGTGCACGGCCTTTTATAATGAAGGCTGAGGGGCACTTTCACACGTCGTCAACCAGAATGGGCTGACTCAATATCTTTCAACTATTTCTATTATTTATTAAATAATAGAAATAGTTAAACTATTTTCATTATTTATTTTATCGAATTATAAACTCTTTGTGACATGCTCGACCGCGCTGAATAAATTATAAAACACAATTGATTGACATAAGAGCTTACATTTGCCTACAGCAGGCACATATTTTTAAATAAGACAGTTAAGTTTCGTAACGACATACAACTGTTGATCCAGGTGTTTAGTTCTGACCGGATGATAAATGTTTTCACCTAATTACATCCCGCCATATGTAATAATTATATATGAATGTTATATATGAATTTACTCGTGCATTTTGTAGCAAAAATCAGTTACTCATCCCTGTCATGTCAGTTGATATTCTTATTTTTACAACGATTTTAATATGCTTATAATTCTTATCTGAACACAATAAAGACTTGTGATAGAGACATACACAAAAGATAGGGAGAGCGTTGATATATAAAAAGGAGCCCATAACGCATAGACTGGGATTTTGTTAATTTTTTATTATTGAATATTAATAAATAAGAGAACATTCAATTGGCGACGAGAATGGCGCAAGATGAACAAGACCCACAAAACGCATTTAGTCAGTTTAATGAACCGCATTAAACTTCAGCCAACGAACGTTAAAGCTTTTGCGTACAATGCGGCCAATACACTTTCTCGGTAAATTCGAAGAGACAATCGAGACTCGTAAGCGCGTTACCGTGGCAACGTTTTACGAAGACGTCCAACAGTGGCAATTTGATCTCTGCATTTACTGCGCAGGACTTCACATTAACAAAATCCGACACACAAGACCACACACTTGATAACATTCTAAACAAACATGCTAAAGTTTTTCATGGTCTTGATAAGCTAAAAGGAGACAAAGTCAAACTGAATATTGACAAAGAATACCCACCGCGAGCCCACCCTTACAAAAATTCCACATGAAATCAGATATGTGAAATCATGTGCATGCAATCATGTGAAATCATTTGATATTATGTTAAATTCCAAATTCACATGAAATCACACGTGACATTTCACATGTGAAAGGATTTCACAAAATATTTCAGATGTCAAAGCATAGCCAGTAAGACCAAAATTGCGCGAGAAATTTTTCGGTAATTTGTCAATATGATATAATGTTGGGTGAGATTTGTTGAACTATTTTCAGTTTCCTAATAGGAATGTGTAAATTATTTCAAAACAATGACGAATACCGGGACCGCTGTAATCCCGCATCGTGCGAAACGTTTTTGATCAAAAAGTACAAAAATATTGTCGTATTTTTTCATGTTAAAAGCACTTTAAAATCACACTTTATTAGCACTATTAGAAATGAGCGCAACGATTTGAACTGGGTGGCCTGTGGCATTCGGGCCCGTGCGCGGGTTAAAACAACGTGGGATGTGAAAAATGTAGTAAAAACGTTAGAGAGAGAGAGAGCGAGAATTGTGCATTATTTTGTAGTTTTGTCTTATTAAATATTATCAAAAATAGCCTTTTGGGAGAGTATTAGTGTACCGGCACGGATTCGGTACATTTTGGTGCCGTGACCAGGATCGAACAAAGAAATACGGACAGTTGAAAGCGAGAAGTTGACGATAATTTCAAAGGAGTTGAAATTCAACATGGCGGACGAAGAACAACAAATAGACATCAGTACCGCAGTGCTAGCGGAAGCCACTCAGGAAGAGAAAGATCAAGAGAAAAAGATACGAAAGGAGATTGAAAAGCTACAGTTTTACCTCGAAGACGTGGATGAATTAATTGAAGCGGAAGACTTGGGCGAAATTAAACAAGTATGTAAACGAACACTACAAATTCAAGATAAACTAAATGACCTTGTGTCGCATTTGCAAGAATTAAAAATCGAGTTGGGACGTTCAACACAAAGAGCTATTAGACAGTGGACAAGAGATTTGAAGGCGGAATACACACCACTATGCGAGAAACGTACAAGATTGTGTCGGATACTAGAGGACAAAGAGAGAACCGAGAGTTTGAGATTGGAAGAGGAAAAGGCTATGAGAAAGATGGAGAAAGAAGAGTTAATGCGCCGACGAATACAGCAACAGGAGAAAGAACTGTGGGAGGAAAGAATGAAGGCAGAAATCGCAGTAGCGGAGAGAAAGTTTCAACTGGAAAAAGAAGCCAAAGCAAGTAAATCTAAACTTCCGGAACTAAAGATAACACCCTTTAAGGGAACTTCGGCAGACTGGATAAGGTTTGAGAACATGTTCGTGTTGCAGGTTGACAGCAAATCTATCTCAGACGCCGAGAAATTTGGATACCTGTTGGAACTTGTCAATCCAAAGGTTAAAGATAGACTTTCCAACTTGAAGCCAGGGACGGAAGGCTACAAAATGGCCTGGGAACGGTTGAAGGTGGAGTATGGCCACAACAAGTTGGTTACTGCGGCACATGTGGAAGAGATTATCAAGCTTCAAGCAGTCAAAGGAAGAAATTACGAGAAGGTATGTGAATTTTATGAAACTCTTTGCAAAAACTGTGACGCACTTGCAACATTGGATGAAGAAGCCATGTTGAAAGGTTTGGTGGTCTCTACCCTTAACAAGCTCCCCCAGGTCAAGCCTGATTTAGTGCGCATGGATGACAATTGGGAGGACTGGGACATGAAAAGGCTATTGGTTGCAATACAGGGGTGGTTGAAACGTAATAAAACCGAGGAAACTACCAATAAAGAGCACGATAACCCGAGAAAAAGGGAGCGAAACTGGTATACGCAGAAAGGGGGAGATTCCAATAGCAAAGGCAAAAGCCCGGTGTGCATCTACTGTGAGGGACAGCACTGGGGGGATCAATGCACGTCATACGACTCAGTGGTGAAGCGTAGACAGTTTTTCGTTGAAAAACGCCTTTGTTTCAATTGTGGCCGAGCTGGTCATCGCGAAAGTAAATGTCGCAGTAGAGGGTGTTACAAATGCAAGGGCAAACATCACACCAGCCTTTGTGACAAACCACCAGAAAACGGAGATAGAGGTAATCACAACGCAATGTTAAATGGGTATTCCCCATCCTCAGAGGAGAAGTCTTTGCCAGCCATAGTCCCCCTAAAGATTAAAGGGAAGACGTTTTGGGCGTATCTAGACACCGGTTCGGGAAAGAATTTTATTTCGAAAGAGGCAGCACGCCAGTTAAAGCTATCACCACAACGCCATGAGAGAAGAAACATCTTGACGGTCAATGGATCCAAGACGACGTCGATGCCCGTGTTTGAAGTAACAATCAACGCAGTTGATGGACGAGCGAGTGAGACTATCGAGATTACGGGTACGGAAATGCCAGATTTCACAACCGTGAAAAGGCCAACGTTCATAGAGCTCAAAGAGAAATACGAACATGTCCGAGGAAAGACTTTCTATCGGTCAGAAAGCGAGGAATATCCAATCCATGTCATATTAGGGGACGCAACCTATTGCAAAATACGAACTGACCAAGTATACAAAGGTAAACCCGAGGATCCAATTGTTGAAGGAACAACCTTCGGATGGGTTGTTCACGGCGGGCATGATTATGCAGACTCGAGGTGCATGTTCGTTCGAGAGAATAGGGACTACGAGCAGCTGTATTCGCTGGACGTGTTGGGAGTAGAAGACCGAGGGGAGCAAGATCAATCGACAGTATATGTGGAGTTTCAAGAAAACATCGTTAAGCAAGATGATGGAAGATACGAAGTGTCTGTCCCATGGATCCCAGGAGCGGTGCTGTCGAATACCAATGAAGAGCCCAGCAGAAAAAGACTTAACAATGTCAACAGGAAATTGAATAGGAATCAACAACTAAAAAGGGAGTACGAAAAGATTGTAAACGAGCAATTGAAAGATGGAATCATCGAAAAGACGGAAGGAAAGTCTCTCAGCGAACGCGTGTTTTACATGCCGCATAAACCCGTGGTTAAAGAGAATGCTTCTACGACGAAGGTGAGAATGGTATTCGACGCCAGTGCCCGACCCCACCCTCTGGCAAATAGTGTCAACGAATGCATGCACACGGGACCCCCATTGCAACCCCTGTTATGGGACATATTAATCCGAGCCAGAATGTCAATCCATCTACTGCTCGCAGACTTGCAGAAAGCATTCTTGCAGGTTGGCTTGAAGAACGACGACCGAGATGCGTTCCGGTTCCTATTTAACATCAATGGTATCGAGGAACATTTAAGATTTACCCGCATACCCTTCGGAGTGGAGGCGAGTCCGTTTATGCTGGGCGCCACGCTACAACACCACTTTGATCTACAACGAGAAGAGTACGGAAACACGGTCGAGTCCTTGAAAGAGAACACTTACGTTGACAACCTAATGAAAACCGGAAGAGACGTCCCGGAACTGGAGAACTTCAAACGGGAAGCGACGATAATTTTGGAAGATGCGAGATTTCCAGTTCATAAATGGGAGTCAAATGTCGAAGAGTTGGACAACGAAGCAAATCCCAGCAAAATACTCGGGCACAAATGGGACAAGAGGGATGACACGCTTGAGATTTTAACAGGACCTGCCAACCTTGAGACACCAATTACAAAGAGACATATTCTTAAGGAACTTAGTAGCGTATACGATCCCTTAGGAATAATATCTCCGACGATGGTCGAGGGAAAGAGTATCTATCGGGAAGCGTGCGATGAGAAAGGTGGTTGGAATGCAGAAGTGTCGCCCAAGACAGCCAAAGATTGGATAAAGTGGAGACAACAATTAAGAAACGTGAGAGTCCCGAGAAGTCTTGCTAGAGATCTTCGAGAGATAAAAGCCATACACTTGCACCTGTTCGCTGACGCAAGTTTCACGGCGTGTTCTGCAGTGACTATCGCAGTTATTGAACACTCCAGTGGGATAGTCAGGGGACTTCTTACATCAAAGTCCAGAATTGCGAAGAGAAACACTTCAATTGCGAGACTCGAACTAGTCGGTGGACACATGGCTGCCAACATGGCGAAGAATCTGGTGGTAGCTTTGCGAAGATGGCCTATAACAACAGTCACGATTTGGATGGATAGTCTGGTTGCTTTGTTTTGGATCTCCAGCCCAGAGAGACCCTGGAAAGTTTTTGTGTCAAATCGGACTCGAAAAATCGCGGAAATTACCGCTGAGATAGGCATTGTTTGGAAATATTGCCCGTCGGAAGACAATCTGGCGGATTTGGGAAGCCGGGGAGCCGGTATCGACAAAATGGAAAAGGGTGGCTGGTTCGCTGGTCCCCAGTGGTTAGTTGAGCCTGACAAGTGGCCAAAGCAACCGAAGCTCGAGAGAACGAAGAGTGTCGTAGAAGAACAGAAGCCTTTGATAGAGGACGTTTTTCACACAACGGAGAAAGCTCTTGACGAATGGGACTCTTTGCTCTCTAGATCGAACTACTGGAGAACCCTCCGTGTCACGGCATGGGTATTGCGATTCAGCAACAACGCCAGAGCACAAAGCCGAAGAACAAGCGTGACGAGAGGCCCACTGACGACGAGAGAGCTCGAAGAATCCAAGGCGCGATGGGTAAAGAAAGCTCAAATGGACATGAGTGTAGAGTTAAAGACGCCAGGTTGGGAGGTCGTCCAGGAGAATGGTTCGGGTCTGCTGAAATGCAAAGGTCGAATTCCCGGGTATCAGCCAATTTATCTGGAAGGGGGAGAGTTCGCAGACAAATTAATTATGCATACACACAACGAGATCAATCACTTTGGTGTTGCGAACACGATGGCCGCATTAAGAGAGACATGGTGGATCCCTAGACTACGATCAAAGGTAAAAAGGATCATAAACAATTGCAACGTGTGTAAAGCGTACAGAGTCAAGCCTTACGGCCATACAGCAACGGCCGACATGCCTTCGTTTCGTATACAAAGTGGACGTCCGTTCGAAACAACGGGAGTAGACTTTGCCGGTCCGTTGTCATATAAGCTTACCAAGAAAGAAGATGGCAAGTGCTATATCCTGATATTTACTTGCGCCACGTCTAGAGCCGTGCATCTGGAGTTAACAAAGTCACAATCAGCTGAGGAATTCAAAACGAAATTGAATGCCTTCATTACGAGAAGGAGTAGACCAAAGATGATCGTGTCGGATAACGGCGCAGCATTTAAAGCAACAGCAACCTGGATTAAGAAGATACGCAAAGGGGAACGGCTTCAAGATTACTTGGCCCGACAGGAAATTAGTTGGAAGTTCAATTTCTCAAAATCCCCTTGGTGGGATGGGATGTATGAACGGTTACTTAAAGATATAAAGAAAACATTGTACAAGGTATTAGGACGATCGACATTGTCATTTGATCAACTGGAAGCCATTGTTATTGATGTGGAGAAGAATGTGAACAATAGGCCGCTTACTTACGTGGAAAGTGAGCAAGAAGAAGAACAAGTACTCACTCCAAACACAATTTTGTGGGGACAAAATGTTTACACTATTGACGAGTCAGATACCGATGATGAGGATGAAGTTTTGAAGTTGCATAAACGTGTAAAGCAGAAACGACAACATGCATGGCAAAGATGGAAAGCAGAGTACGTACACAGTTTGATGGAACACCATCGGGTCAACAGGGGAGTTAATGCTTGTCCAGAAGTCGGGGAGATCGTCTTGGTGCTCGGCGAAGAAAAGAATCGGGCTGAATGGAGAAGAGGAAAGGTGGTGCAGCTCATCAAGGGGAAAGATAACGTGGTGAGAGGAGTAAAGATTCTGACGAAGGGACATACTATTGAGAGACCGCTTCCCCTTGTTTGCTCGCTGGAACTTAAACAACCCGAAGTGCTGGAGGTAAACCAGACCGAAACGGACGAGAACCCTGCGACTGAAGAGCGAAAAAGCAAGAGACGAGCAGCGAAAGAGGCAGAACAGAGAATACGAGGATTGATGATCGATGAAGAAGATTGACGTATTTTGGACTTAAACTTATTACGAGACATTTGCTCTGAGGAAACTGAGCAAACCTTTGAAATTGACATTGTTTGCGTGTTAAATATAAAATATAAAACATTAAATTTTAGAGGGGAGGGTGAGCGCAACGATTTGAACTGGGTGGCCTGTGGCATTCGGGCCCGTGCGCGGGTTAAAACAACGTGGGATGTGAAAAATGTAGTAAAAACGTTAGAGAGAGAGAGAGCGAGAATTGTGCATTATTTTGTAGTTTTGTCTTATTAAATATTATCAAAAATAGCCTTTTGGGAGAGTATTAGTGTACCGGCACGGATTCGGTACAGAAAGGCAAATAGTTTAATCCTAGACTAAAATGAAGGGAAAATATTAATGAGAACGACTCTTAATGAGAAGAGTTGAATCAGCAATGACCTTTAATGGAATGCGGTTACAGTCAAATGAACTGATGGTTATACTGTCTGAACCCTACAGCCTAAAATGAATTTTTTTAATGTGAATGTATTAGGAATATTTTCAGATGGTAATGATACATTTAGGTCGGGCTTATTAAGGTCCATTTTCCGCACATTCAAAAAGCAAGTTCGAGCAAAAATTGGAAAAGTTAATAATTAACAGAGTATTGGGCCTCTCCGAGTCAATCTTTCCTGAATATCAAGTTCAACTTCGCGTTTTGACTTCTGTTATGAACGTTTATCTATCTCTGGGTTGTTTAATATGATGTAGCAAGACTTGGCTTACATTGGCTTGTATACGGGCGCACCAGGAGTTATTTTAAGTAACTTCCGGTTATTCTAGCCACCTCATTTAGTCGAAGGCAATGGCTGAGACAACTGCTAACTCGAGTATTCCAAAGCAAAGGAGCGTTTATTTGATCACGTTTAGTCAATGCGACAGTTCACAACTGTCCAGAGTAGAATTTGCGAACCTAATTGTTAAATCATGGCATTCCTGTTCCCCGTCGAGGATAATCCAGTGGGTAGTCAGTTTGGAGGCGCATCAAAACGGTGGTAGTCACTTCCATATGGCTATAAAATTGAGCAACACGGCTAGATGGCGAGCTGTAAGAAATTTCATCGATAATAGATACGGCATAAAACTGAATTTTTCCGATAACCACGCAAATTACTATACAGCATATGAATACGTTGTCAAGGAAGATACAGAATTTGTGCTGTCTCAAGGCCATCCAGACCTCGCAAATTCAGGACCACCGGCATCTACAAATGGGTCACGGCAACGAAAGAAGGCAGGAAAGATTTGCAAGGGGAAAAAACGAAAGCGACTGGCCGTGTTTGACGTTGTACGGATAATAGAAAACAAAAAAATTAAAGGCACGTCTGGAACTGATGGCATTGGCGGCTAAATGGCAAGAAGAGGGTAAGACAGACCTTGCAGAGTTCGTTTCGAACCGGGGGCCTAAGATAGTGAACGAGGCCATCGATACGGCTAAAGAGCTGAGCGAGGCGCAAGCAAAGCTGGAACGCGCAAATAAATCACGTCTTCAACTGCTGGAAGAAAGTGCGGCTAGTTCATGTGTCGATGGTTGCCAGGGTGCGTGGATTTCAGCTGCGAATGAAATTTTAGATACAAACGGAATCGCCAAAGAGTGTTTCGCGTCTGCTATCTATGATGCATTGAAACGTGGTCGGGGGAAATGGCAAATCGTTCATTCTTCGCCCCCTGACAAAGATTTTCCGATGTTTCATGAACCCAGTGTCTGGAAGCTTCGCTTGGCTTGGAATTGAAGATGCTGAGGTGGTTTGGCTAAACGATTTTCGCTGGAAGCCTTCGCTTATAACCTGGTGTGAGTTCCTGCAAGTGTTGGAGGGTGATACTGTTCATTTTTCTGCTCCCAAAAATGTGATGAGCAAAGATATCGTGTTGGATAAAGACACGCCATTCTTTGCAACCAGCGATGCTCCGTACGTTAGCACTTGTAAAAGGTGGTACTATCGACAGAGTCAACACGGAGATGATGGACGTAAGATGGTGTACATTTAATTTTCATAGGTAAATACCAAAACACCAACAAAAAGAGATGAAAACTTGCATTTCATGTTTTGCAAAACTTATTATTAGCAGTATATAATCACATAATATAGTCAAACGCATTAAAGCTTCCGGGACAGACGAATTAAAATTAAATGAGAGTGGTTCACACCTTGGTTCACACACTGATTCACACACACAAAATCTTAAATAACGAAAAAATAAAACGGTTTAAAATCAAGTTAAGGCCTGGAATAGTATCTTGGAAGTGTCCAATATTGTTTTCCCTAAATTTCAGACAATAATAAATGACCAAACTGAGAGTTAGCACGATTCACACTTTGGTTTATAAATCAGATAAGACCTTTCAAGTATTAATAGATTTGGGTGTGAATTTCATTTTATAAAATTTGGTTCATTTTGGCGTTAAGTTAAAAGCAAAATATGCCAATAGAAATAGATCTGATGCCACTGCTTGCTCAACGTAAAGACAAATGTAAATACCACGTAAAATTCAAGCAGAAAATCAATAAACGTTTGTGTGAATCAAAGTGTGAACCACCTATACGCGCGTGCATCGTTTTGAGATCTCATGTTTCACTTAATTGCTTAATACTTCGTTCTAAATCCTTTACATTTGATAACAGCTTCAATGCACTTAGGCATGCTTAATAATAGATTGTTAATATAACTAACTGGTGTTTCGAATATAGTTTTCTGAACTCTTGCTTTAAATTCCTGCCACGTTTCTTGCTGTATGCTCCTGGCGATGACTTGCCTCTCGAGCTCTCGTTTCACTACATGAAATAAGTTCTCGATTGGATTAAGATCTGGTGAACGTGGTGGAATAGCAAATAAAGTAGCACGTGCTTTCATTATTGCTTTTCTGGCAGCCTTGCTTCTCTGGGAAGGATCGTTATGTTACTCGTAGCCCTTCGGACTTTTTTCTCCATATCTTACCCTTTGGGGCTACTAGCATCATGTATTGTTTGGCGCTTAAAACGACGATTCAGAACTCCCTTTTTTCTAGCGTTAAAAAACTTGAATCCTGCGCCCTTAATCTCTCTGTAGAACGTTGAATAAGATGCTCCCGAAGATTCAAGTCCGCTGAAGCGAATAAGCTCTTTCAATGTGAAATTCGGATTAACATCACGCAACTTTCTTATACTACGCTCTAAATGCCTGCGATCACGAACAGATAGCTTTTTAGGTCGCCCCGTACTTGCATTTGACCTTTTCTTCTGCTTTAGCCTCGGTGTTTTTAAATATCGCGCGGCAGTTGATTTAGAGATTTTAGCTTTTTTAGCAATTTCACGAATCGAATACTTATTTTCCATACTTAAGAATCGAACAAGCGCCCGCGTTTCATCAGAAATCTTTTGTACGAAGACCATTTTGGCAATTATATAATTATAAAGGATATCGAGGAAACGGTTTATCCTATATAATATAGTGACATGTATGGCTGACCCACTATTGTATAGCATGACATATTAAACCACATACGCACGTCACAGTCGACTATTTGCGTCAAATATGCACAGTTTGTACGTGCTGTTTATCAGCTCACCTTTGCATCCTACTCACTTAGAATACAAGTTGCTAGTTTAGCAGATAAATGCGCATTTATCTTTTGCAATTGCAGCAATAATGTCTCAACGTAAACACTTTCCCTAATATACATTGTGGTGATACATTTCATTTAGTAAATTTTACCTTTATAGCACAATTATAGCTCTGATTTGCCGGGAAATAAATGGCAAATTGAGAATACATAAATATTAATGAAAACTATATACAATTTACAAAGCATAGGGTGATGATAGCTCTTTTAGGTTGGTTTAATTTGAGTAAATACCTTAATTTAATCAATATAGTTAACTAAGCTTTCAGACAATCATTTTCAAAAGTAGTTGGGACACCTACTATTTTTAGCTAAAATCTACTATATAGGATGATTTTCATACACCCCCCCCCTTCCCCCAATCAATGTTGGTTTTCAAATCCAAACACGTTTCGGAACAAAATGTCCGTCTATTTGGGACACAACATTGAAAAGGGGGCGCGGGGGATCTGGGTTTGTCTTATAAATCGGTAATTTGGCTACCTGTCCCAACTCTTTTGAAAATGATTTTAGCTGTGTTAACCACAGCAGTGCTATTTAGAATAAATCATTCCTACGATGATTTAACCTCCCTTTTTCGTGAAGTACAAATATAATTTCCTTAACAAAACTCTATTTTTTCTAGAAACCAGTGGATTGCTGGATTTTCCAATATATACAGGGTGTCCCAAAAAAAAACGAAAACTATTGTAATCACTCATTGTTAAAATTTGAGTGCCGTGTGCACGAGTTTTAGCCCGTGGGGATTTAATGCAATTTAATGCATTGCTAGAGAAAGGGGACATGTCGAAGGTCATGGTGATTGAGATGCACATTTAAATATTGTTATAATATAAGTATGATATAACGAGCAATTTGATTGGCTACGGCGCGTGCATTGTGAGGCCATAATGCACGCTTCTGGCTTTTGAAGTTTTTGTTGCTAAGCAACATCTTAAATAACATGTAAGGAGAATTTCATTATTGATCAAATAAATAAATTTTGTTGTTGCCCTATAATTTCTTTTTATATTATAAAAGAATTAAAAAAGCTCGTCGTGTGCCTTTATGGTGTACGCCTCGTGTTTTACAAGCTTCTCTCGTATTCTCCCAACATTCCCCCATCGTGCATTATTACACCGTAAAGGCACGCGACTCGTTTTTTAATTCTTAATTAATAAATATCATTTTCGCGTACGAGCAAATTTTACTGCGTCTTTTGCATGCATAAAAATGCTTATGGCAAACATTTACACATCTGTGGGTCCCAACAGAGTGCTTAGGCATTCAAACTCTAACAATTACATTGTTATGGGTGATTTCAATAGTTTTCGTTTTTTTGGGACACCCTGTAGTTTTATTGATTACATAAACTTTTCATGATAAAAGTCATTAGTTGCTGGCAAACAAAAGGAAGGATGCCCTACGTTAGATCTTGTTG